GGAAAGCCGACGTCCCCAGTGCCAAAACCGAAGGAGCCGGCTGGAAGCTGGAGAAGCCCTCCCTCAAAATGCCCAAAGCTGAGATCAAAGCTCCCAAGGTGGACATCAGCCTCCCGTCCGTTGACGTGAGCCTTCCAAAGGCCAGCGTTGACCTGCAGGCGCCCGAGGCGGCCCTCACCCTCGAAGGGGAAGCAAAGGCCCCAGAGAAGGAGGCCGCGAAGACCAAAGACGGCAAGTTCAAGATGCCCAAGTTCGGCATGCCTTCCTTTGGCTGGGCCAGCAGCAGAGAGGCCAAGGGCACGACGGCCGCTGAAGTGGATGTCAGCCTCAAGGAGCCCCAGGTGACGGGGCCCTCAGGAACCGCTGAAGTCGACGTGACCCTGCCTGGGGCCGAGATCCAGGTGCCTATTTCTGATGTTGCTATGGATTTCTCATCTGGAAAAGAGGTTGATATGGGTAAAGCTAAAAGTTCTCTTTTTAGAGTACCTAAGGTTTCTCTTTCTAAAAGTTTGAAATCTCAGGCACAGAGGAAGTCTTCAGCTGAAATTTCTGTGTCAGAAGCCCTTTGTTATTCTTTAGCAGAGGATAGTCCTGCTGTTATTTCAGCCAGTTCTGGATCTAAATCTCTTCCTGATAATAAGGGAGATAGTATTTCTAAAAATTCTAAATTCAGAATTCCTAGCTTGGGTTTCTCCAAAGTTGATATTGGTTCTTCTAAAATTGAACAGGATTCCCCATTACCAAAAGGGGATATTACTCTTACTAAGTATCAGATGCATCTAGCGGAATCTGAATCAAAAACATTATCTCTTACTGACGAGAATCTTGCTGTAGCAGATCTTGAAATTTTAAATGAACGTGTTTGTTTGGAGGAAGGAAGTCTGAAGCCAAGAGGTAAAACAACATCTGCTGAAATATCTATGGTTGACACAGAGGTTACAGTTAAAATTCATAAATTCCGAAAACCAAAATTTGGAATTTCTTGGTCTAAAGGAAAACCATCAGAAGGTGACATTGGTTCCAAAGTGGAATCTGAAATTTCCAAGAGAAGGATAACATCTGATATGACTGATACTGAAAAACCAATTCAGACCTCTGATTCCGAATTAGTTTTAAAGATGCACAAGGCTTCACCTGAAGTTGTTCTGGATGCACCAGTGCTGGATGTCAGTCTCCAATCAGTGGAAGTTACCATGCCAAAATTAGAAGTGGAAATCCATGGCCCAGGTTTAGAGTGCAAGGCAGAACAGGAAGTAGTTTCAGGAGAGAAGGACACTGAGGAGAAAGAAAAGAAATTTAGAACATCAAAATTTAAACTGCCTTCATTTAGTTGGTCACCAAAGAAAGAAGCTGTTGTTCCTTCTGAAGGTGAGGGACATCTGGAAGAACCTTCATTCCCTAAAATTAAGGGTGAAAAATTCCAGGACTCTCTTCCTATATTGGAAACTGATGTTTGTGTCCCCAAACAAGAAAAAGAATATGTTTCAGTACAGAAATCTGAGAAACGGAGTAGTGGAGAAGGGGCAGGAATGGGCATAAAAATGCCAAAAGTTACAGTCTCGACTTTGGAATTTTCCAAACCACTAGTCAAAGCTCCCAAAATAGAGATGGATACTAGCATGTCTACAGGTGAGGTTACACTTCCTACATGTGAAGAAGATTACCTGACATTGAAATCAGCTGCTGCTAATGCCAGCCTGTCCACCTCAGATATTAAGATGAGAAATGAAGGCTCCCTTGAATTGAAGAGTCCTGACACAACTGTTGAAAGATCAAGTGAAATCCCTGTGGGTGATGTAGAAATAAAAATTGAAGGTCCTGAAGGAAAACCAAAAGTGTCTAAATTCCAAATGCCAAAGTTTGGAATTACACATTCTAAAGGGAAAGGGTCAGAAAAGGAGGTCATCCAATCTAAATCAGAAGTCAAGGTTCCTCAACTAAAAGCAATGGTAGAGATAGGTGACATTGCTGTTGAAGCACCAAATTTGGAGGTGGAGTATGGTACAGGAACAGAAGCTTACAGCCCTATAGTCAAAATGACCAAAGCTGACAATAAGACATCAGAGGCTGATGTTCATCTCCCATCAGCTGACATTTCTATTCCAAAAACAGACAATGATATTCAGGATTCAGATACAACACTGAAAATCAAAGGGGAAATAAAGCAAGATGGAGATGGAGAAGAGAAAGAAGGACATTTCAAAATGCCAAAATTCAAACTTCCATCCTTCAGTTGGTCACCAAAGAAGGAAGCAACTGTTAAACTGGATTCTGGAGCAAATTTGGAAGGTCATAAACTTGGTGTAACATCAAGCAGAATTGACACAGAAGTGAAAGGATCTGCAACTGATGATCAAGGTACTGGCTCAGCCCTTGATCAGGAAAGATCTACAGGAAAAGTTGAACAAAAAAGTCCAATTAAAAAGCCTCAATTTGCCATGCCTAAAATTTCACTTTCCAAGATCAAGGTTCCCAAATCTCAGACTTACTCACCAAAAGTTGAAGCTGATGCTACTATTCCTAAAACAGAAAGAGAGGGTGATGTTTCAATACAGATACCTGATATAGAAAGAAGTCATTCTGAAAGGACAGAAGAAGGGACACAAATAAGCATAAAACTGGCTGATGTTAAGATCCCCACTCTGGAGCATTACAAAATAGAAACTGGAGCTTCCCAAACTGAAATAGGAGTCAGCTCAGCAAAGATTGATACTTCTCTGCCTCTCTCAGAGGGGAGTTCTCAACAGGTTGTCCTAAAATTGAGTTCTACTGATGAAGATACCGTTGAAAAAGCAGGTATTAAGTTCCCCACAGGAGAAGCTTCAGTTGAACTGAGGAGCCCTGAAATAGTAACAGAAAGATCATCAATTGTGGATGGAAGAAAGATGAAATTGGAAGGTCCTGAAGGGAAGATTAAAATGCCCAAATTCCAGAAGCCAAAGTTTGGAATCTCCCTAACAAAAGGGAAAGGCCCAGAGACAGAGATCAGCTCTCCAAAACCAGAAGCTGAGCTAACCCAGATAAAAATGACAAATGAAATTGCTGACAGTGCTGTGGGAGTTCCCGCATCAGAACTTACATCTGGTATGTCAGATCCTGGAGTAAGTGTTTGTAAGATAAAAACACCCCAAGTTCTGACAGCTGGCATTGAAGCTCCAAAGGTAGACATAAGCCTCCAGTCAGTGTCTAAAACAATGACAGAGGGAGCTCTTGAGAGCCCTGAGGAGAAAGAAACCAAATTACAAGAAGAACATGAAATAAAAGCTGAAGAAGTTCAGATTGAAGAACATCAAGGATGGTTTAAAATGCCAAAATTCAGAATACGTGCATTTGGCAGGACATCCTTAAAGGAAAAAAAAAGTGATGCTGATATTGAAAGAAGTACGGGAGAAGCTCAGGTAGGCACTCCCTCTGCCGAAGTGCAACCTGAAACAAGTATACCTGAAAACACCTTCTCATTACCACATGCGATCACTGAAATTACTATTGGAAAAGAAGGGATTCTAAAATTAGGAGATTCTGTGAAGAGTTCTGATGTTAGCTTGTCAAAAATGGAAGGAGATATTTCATTATCCACTAAAAGAACAGATAGTAGAGTGAATATTCCAAAAACTGAAACTTATGCAGACATAGTTAAGCATGGTCCTGAAGGACAAAAAATGCATACTTCAGAATTCACAGTGTCTTCAGCAGAATTGTCTAAACCATACCAAATTGCTTCAGAAATTGACAAAGACAACAGTTTAACAAATATGTTTCCTACATGTACTCTGACTCTTCAAGACCATAAAGTCAAATCACATGATACAGAAGTCCCAAAGGTAGAAAGCTCCACTAAGTTAGGGACTTTAGGAGTAGGATGTAAACCATCAGCAGCTGAAATTACTCTGGATGCAACACAGGAGAAAATAAATGTTAGTCTTCCAAAGGAAGAGCTAGATATTCAAAATCAAGAGGGACTAATTAAAAAGGGAAAGATAAAGGGTGAGATGAAAGTTATAGGAAAAGACAGTGAAGGAAGCCAATTAAAAAGGCCTACATGTGAATGGTCTACAACAAAGGGATCAGAAGATGGTGCTTATGTTGCAGCTAAACCAGAAGATCTAAAGGTAGAAGTTCCAGGAGTGAAGATGGATGCTAGAGTAGATCCTGAAATGAAATTTCAAGTGAAAAGTGTTGAAAAGGACATGTCTGCCGGGATGGAAGTGCAAGTAGAAGATAGAGCAGAAACAAGTAAAATTAAAACATACAAGTTTAAGATTCCAAAGTTCAGAATGCTGCATTCGGAAGTGAAGGGTTTTGAAGGTGATATCAATTTGCCAAAGTCAGAAGCCGATTCCATATCTGAAACTGAAATAGGCACAGCAGAAATGCAGTTTCAAAAAAGAGGAGGATCTATTGGCCTGAAAAGTCCAGCTCTAGATCATATGGAAGCATCTGCCAGAACAACAGTGGAAACAGTGGACAAATCACAAGGTGTCTCAGAAGTAAATATTAAAATTCCCAAACTAAAAATACCAAGATTCACTTTCAAAACTCTCCCAACTGAAGCTGATGTTTTAGTGTCAAAAGTGGTAGCAGATCCAAAGGGATCTAGTACTGACATTGAAATAGTGCAACTGCAAGCAAGCTCTGCTATCCCTGAGGAAACACCAGAGGCTCTAGAGGGTGGTATTCAAAAAGCAAAAAGCAAGATTCTAACATTGACTGAACCTGACATTAAAACAGCACAGATGACTACTACCGTAGAGTCCTCCCTTTCCCATGCAGGGCAAGACATTCACTGGTCGTATGTAGAGGGCCAAGAGGTGAGTGAGAAAGTAGAACCTGAGCATGTTGCTATTGAAAGGTGTGAGATTTACACTACTGAAATAGTGAAAGAGTCAGAGATCCTCTCATCAGAAGTCAAAACTGCAACTTTGGGATTCTCATTGCTCAAGGTGAAGTTGCCTGAATCACACAGCAACTTAGAAGTGCTAGTCCAGCAGCTGTCAACAGAAGGTGTATCAGTGAGCAAACCTGAATGTGCTGATGAAAGCTTCAGAGTAGCAGCACAGACGACTGACAGTGCTGAGCTTAAACTATCTGACAAATCACACGGTGAGACTGAAAAATCTGGTGAAGTAAGTTTGCCAAAGTTAAAAACACTTGCTGTTGAAGCAAAGCCTTCCAGTAAAGTTGAAGAGAGTCTTCCTGATAAATCACCAGAGGGAGTAACTGCAGGTCCTCTCTCTAAAGATGAGGATGTAGCTGAAGCACTAGAAGATGAAGAAAAAGACATAACCAATGAAAAAGAAAAGACTGATAGTAAAAGATCTCCTGGAAGATTCAAATTTTGGCTTCCAAGTATTGGCTTTTCATCTTCTGCTGATGAAACAAGCATGGATTCTAAAACAGAAGTGAAAAAAGCAGTTCCAGAAGATGTGAAACCTGCTGACACATCAGATAATGAGTCTTCTAAGCAAACTGAAAAAACTGGATGGTTTAGATTTCCCAAGCTTGGTTTCACATCTCCTTCCAAAAAGGCTAAGACTGTTGGCAAAGAAGACATGGGTCATAAAGAGGGAAGAATCTCAGATGAAGATAGCCCATCAGATAAACCTGATGTATTTTTTGATGCGCAGGAAAGCTTATCACCTAAAGAAACAGCAGAGGATGAAAAAGTTGAAATTGATGGGGGCTCATCTGATGTTCCAGTTTCTCGAACTATTGTGACATCTTCAGCAAGAACTGAACTAATCTTGTTGGAGGAAGAAAAAGATAGTCAATGTACTATTTCTGGAGATCCAACCAAATAAAGACAGCCTTTCCTCAACCCTCAATGAAAATAAAATAATCTATATGTACAGAAAAAATGTTTTCTTAATTTTCTAGTATCTGAAAAATAAACAAAAAGCAAAGCTGATGTTAATGAAAATAGTTGAACAGAATTTACCACATTTAAATTTTCAAGCTCATGGACGTGCTATTCTGTACACTAATAAAAATACTGATTTCTTCAAATCTGACCCAAAGATGACAATCATGCCAGGTACAGAGGAGTCCATAGTTTTAGCGAAGTCTGAAAAGATGCCTGAACCCTGAAAGCAAAACCTGGAAAGGCTTGATGATAGCAAAAAGACTTGTTAAATAGGGTTCTCAAAAACACACCAGTTATGTTTAGGTTAAAGGTTACTTCCAGAATGGAGTATAAACTAGTACTATGAGAACTATATTTACTTGTTTAGATTTTGGACCTTTCTGACCTACTTTTGCTTTCTTATTAAAATATTTTTCTTTATTTCAGCTAAGGTAATATGTATATTCCACAAACATTTTACAATGCAAAATAAAACCAAAATACTAGTGTAGAGAGACTAACGCTTTACCTCTTCCTCTCTTCTCATTTTTTTGGTTATTGTGGTGGGTCATATTTAGCCTTAAAATAATTTTTTTAAAAACCCCAAACAACAGAATAAATTCAAGACCAAAAAATATGTAACTAATTCACACTTTTTAAGATGCCAAAATAAAACATGCTGACAAAGAATAATTATTAAAATGTGGATAAATAAATTTTAATGTATATATTTATTGGATAGTTAAATGCAGAGAATGGTCTGCCACACTGGTGGAATTGCTTCAAAGATTTTCTGGGAAAGGAGATGTATATAATTATTTGCTTCTTTGTTTATATTAATGCTCTGTCAAGTGCACAACAAAAAACAGAGTGCTTATGTGACAGCCTTCACGTGTATCATTTAACACTGTCTGTATTCTTAATTCACAATAAACTCACCATATGAATAATAACTTGAGTAGCATGAGTCACTGATAGTGCTGTTAGCATTTTCTGATTCTGAAAATCCCAGTTTAAATTTGCAAAAATCCTGAGTTTCATAGCTTTGCATGTGCAGACATACTTCATTATAGTAGTTTTCCTATCCTGTATTTTCTTTCTCCATATTCTACTTAATACAGACAGAGCAAAATGTTTAGAAACGGGGCTGTAAAGGAAGTGTACTTGGTTGTTGAACCATCTGTAGCCTGCGATGTTCTTCATTTCTATATCTTTGTGGTAGGCTTCAATATTCTAAAAACTGCTGGCAATTATTCTAAAGAGAACTCTCTCTCTGAACAGACTGCTCACATAAGTGTTAGGCATGTATCATTTATTTGGATCATGCAGCATTTCCCTGAAATTTCCCTAAGTGTATAAGTCATTATTCAAGACACCCAAAATTACCACATCATACAGCAATGGCATATAGCAGGACCAAGGAAATCATTGTGATCAGGACAGAAAAATTGAGTCCAGAAAGAGGTAATGTATTTAATAAAGGACATCCCATTCTAACAGCAGCTCACACCTGCCTGCAAAGCAGCCTTCACATAACACGTTTCTCAAGTAGTGTCCATGTACTTAGGCCAACAATAGAAATCAACCTAGACAGCACTGAATGTAGGAGTCTGTTGCAAAGGCGACAGAACTAAGTCAATTAAAATTGAGCTCTGAGACAGCGATGACCACAGAGTAATAATCACAATGATGTTTTTAAAAGAGGAATGAAATTTTTTTAGAGCGGTACAGAAAAGCAGCAGCAATAAAATCTTCTTCCAAATAGGCTACTGTCGGCTTTGGGAAAGATGCAAATTAGCAAAAAACAAGAGTACAAAGTATTACTCAATGGTCTGACTGCAGGAATAGCTAAGAAAAACCCTCAAAAGGGTGGAAGGAGCGCAGATACAAAGTGCAGAACACAGACATTTTGCCAACAGGCTGATTCTGACCCCACCTGCATACTTAGTTCGAGGTGCTCAGGTTGTTCTTCTAACTGTGTAGGTTTCCTTGATTACTGATACATATTTTTTAACATCTGAAAAAGTGGGCTGTTCAGCTAAACATCTACATACAGTCTCCAGCCAAACAAACCTACAACAGTGATTTGACATGCAAAAGAAGGTATAAATGCATTAAAAAGAAAGACACTCCCAATCTGGTAATTTCTTTTGTTAAGACACGAATACATCTCTATTGGTTGTCTATTTTGTTGTTATATTTGAAGCAGGACCTCTCATATATCCCAAAGACAAGACAGTCAAAATTAATCCTGAATGAGATAAGCCATATGAAGAATAGTAGAGCGTAGCATAGCATAGCACAGTTCAATTGGAAGGGATCTACAGCCATCATCAAATCCAACAGCCTGACCACTTTAGGGCTGACCAAAAATTAAAGCATGTTATTAAGGGCATTGTTAAAATGCCTCTTAAAGCACTGGCAAGCTTGGGACATTGACCACCTCTCTAGGAAGCCTGTTCCAATGTTACCACCCTCTCGGTATAGAAATGTTTCCTAATGTCAAGTCTGAACCTCCCCTGATGCAGCTTTGAACCATTCCCAGGTGTCCTATCACCGGATCCCAAGGAGAAGAGCTCGGCACCCCCCTCTCCGCTTCCCCTCCTCAGGAAGCTGCAGAGAGTAGCAGTCTGTAAGTCAGTGCCCATGACAGAAGAGCTATCTTCCAGGGATTATGGAGATATTTATGACTGTCAAAAAATTAAGTGTACATTGATATAGCATAAATGGTAGATGAAAAGTTTTCTCAGTACCTGGATGAAAGCAACAAAAGTATGATTTATCTGGATCAGCTGGGAAAGGAAAATCCTGGGTAATGGGGGAAAAAACTGAGAACAGGTTATACTAAAACTTTTGGAACAAGCTCGTGTGAAGCCAGATGACCTTGCAGTCCTGTCAGAACTCATAAAACTTACGGACCCAGCTAGGTTCGGTCTTGCTGTCATCTGCACTGCTGTCAGCAGCACTATAGCCTCATGCACTGCACCAAACCAAGTGCTCTCAGAAGCGAGACTGATGGGAGAGCAGCACAGCAGCTCCGTGTCAAAGCCACTCCGGTAAAGCAGGGCTGGTTCACTTAACTTGTGCTCCATTGTAACACAGGTACACGAGATCAGCTGATCAGAGGAGAGTATTCATGCTCAAGAGCCAAACCAGCAACTTTTTCTAGACAGGAATAAGCCAATACTGAGAAAAATCTGAACTGCCTGCAAGCAAACTAGAAAATCAATCCAAGGATAATAAATAGATGCTAATGAATACTACTGGAGGCCCCAGCTTACATTTGGTACAGTCCTTAACTTGAGGAAATCACAACCTAAATGAAAGAGACAGGGTGGGTGGATAAGGACTATTATTAACCCTGTTTCGTAAATGGAAAAGTACTAAGAGACTCAAAGCCTGGTTATAATTTACACCATGTTCCAACTTTAGAAGAGAGAACAAGTAAATTAGAATCAGGCTACAAAGAAGCCTAAAAGGTCTTACAAGGAACCAGGGAAACAAACTCAAGTGCCTCTTAGATCCAGTTCATTGTCTTAATCATAAACCCCTTCCTTCATATGTAGAGGAAAAACAGCACATATGATGCCAGTAAAGAAAAGGAAAGAGCATGAAGCATAAGCATCAATTTTTCCTTTATAAGCTGAAGCTTACCCCACACATGTCTTATATTACCAGAAGATAAGTCTCCCAGCTTGCTCAGAAACTATGTCCCACTGAACAACTTATCCAGCACTGTCAGATTTGAGCTCACAGGTAGAGGAGAAAGAAGTTTTGGTCTTATTCCTACAATAACTATTGCCGCAAGAGAGTGAAAACATAGCTTCGAGTGCCATCTAGAGGAGTGCAGGCCTCTACAGAAAATGTGTTGGTTGAAGATGTAACTCCTCAAAACAGATTTTCAAACTGACCCACCATTCCCGTGTTCTCATTGCACTGGGAAAAACCTGTTTGATATCATTCTTGCATGCAAGTATTAATACAGATATGTTTGTTGGTACAGGACAATAAACCTGAGAAATGGAGCTAGTGAAAACCAGCCGGGGAGGTTCTACTTTGACAGAAATTTTAATTAGTGAATGGAAATCTCAAAATATTAAACAGTCTCTAGAAAGGAAATAGGGGAGGAGAGCACTAAAAGCACCTGCATCTTCCTCAACATGCTTGCACGTATGTGAATACTCACAAAATTTCAGTGTTCTCTGTAAACGTAGCTACATGACTTAAAAGTTTGCCTTAATAACAACAAGCATTGATCATTGTAATGATGGATAAAACGATCCAAGGAATCTCAGAAGTGTCCGGAAGAGATAGCTAAGGAGCAGCCTGGAAATCTAAAAATGAAAAATCGGTTGGGAGAGTCTCCAAAAGACCTCATGAGGAAGGTGCCTTATTTACATGGGGATTTGTGTGTATTCACAAAGATATAAATCAGTCCACACATAAAAGATCACAGCAGGTCCCTTTGTCCTTCACAGCACAAAGGGCAGGGGTTCAAAAGCACCAGACACTTCCTCTGGAGGATGCGAGGTTGCACCATCATGGGGAAGCCTGTACTCCTACTACCCAGAGCTGTGTCTGCAGCAAGAAAGAGATGGCCTCAGAGCCAAAATGCAACTGAATGAGGCCCTGCCACACAGGAGTGAAGCCATCAGCTGCCACATGCCTTTCAGGGCTGGAGAGGTCTGCTGTGGTTTCACAGCTCAGATACAGAGTGCCAGGACAGGGTCAGGTTTGCCCGACCCTTCTGCGCAGCCGTGCTGTGGGCTTTTGCCTTGGGCTCTCTCGCCTCTGCTGTACATCAGTCCCAAAGAAAAAAGTTCACTTTGTGACTCCACTTCCAGTATCAGGCAAAGATGCACAGCCCTGGTGAGATTCACAGAGCCCCAGCCCAGCACTCATGCAGCAGCTTGACCCCGCTCCCTCCATCCTATTTGCTGCGTGATGCCAATGCACAGACATCCAAACATCCCCAGATGCTCAGGGGTCCAGGGCAGCTGGGCTGGAAGCTGGCCCCAAGATGTAAATCCCAGGTATTTAACTCTGGCAGCTAGCCTCAACACTTAAACACAGGTATTTCCCTGTACCTCTAATTCCTAAATGCTTTTAAAGATCTGCCCTCATTATTGTAGGTGATTACTTACATGGCTCAAATCTGAAAGTGGCCAGGAGTTTATTAAAAATATGCTTAAACACATGTAAGCAAACACTGTTTATGGAACATTAAGGTTGAAATATATAGCTTCCTAAGATAAAATAGCACAGCAATAATGATCTGCATCCCTGAGGTACTGAGATCTAGATGTATCTTCCATGTTTGCTTTAGTATCAGACAGCTTGTCATATAACACTGTATTCATTTCATTAACTCTGGGATGAGGTAATCACACAAAAAAGGAAATGTCACACACTGACTGATGGTTTTGCAGGTAGAGTCAACTGTGAATGTTCTCGCATCATCGAATCATGTGGACGCCACAAGGAAGTGATTTCTCTGACAAAGACATAAAGAAGAAAGCTCCTTGTTTTGCACAGGGAACAAAGTTCAAATATATTTTTTGTTTCTATTTTAAATGTATATTTCAATTCACTTCAGAGTCCGCCGCTCCAGTTACAGTCTTTCTGTCCCTGCACATCTTCCAGATTCACGGCATATTTGGAATTCCAGTCTCTCTCAAAAAGGTTTTTTAATTGTTCCTGGATAGGCAGTTGCCTTCTTTGCAGGTTGGTGGAATTCTGTTTGATAATTAGTCCCACGCCAGCTGTATTAACAAAGTAATCTTCTGACCAATTGGAAGTCCCTATGCAATGAAAAAGTAGCTAATTAGAAAACATTTATTTCCCAGTGTTCTGTTTGATCTCCATACTTGTTAAGTTCACGTTGCCTGGCTTTGCTGATTTGCTGTACAACTGCAAATCTCATTAGGACCAACAGAGGAGCAAAAAACAGGTCACCTCCTTCTTATTCCAGACCCCAGGTTTTGGAAAGTCAGTAGGAACTGCAACCCTGAAGCTTGATAACCTTCTGATTCCTTACAGCCTGTGACAGAGATGCACAAATCTACTTATTGTAAATATGGGAATAGAGTGCAACATTTGGATATAAAGAGGAGTAAAAGCCAGTGTTTGATATGAGTTTATGTGCTTAAAGAAAAAAAAAACCTTAATGGACTTAATTGTCTTTATTTGTTAAAGGAAAACAAGAGGAGAAACTGTACCCTTGATCAATAAATCCTCAGGGGCTGTTCTGAGCTCAGCATGTAATGCCTGCTTTTAAACCAGGCAAAGCTGTCAGTCCAGCTGTAGACATTGTGTAGAGCTTTCTCCAAAGCTACCACAATTCAGAAAGTCAAACACTGTGAAAAATAAACATTTTATCACCTAGCACTTCTCCTGGTGTTCGCCTTTTCCAGAAAAATCTACTGTCAATTCCAGAAGGCGCTTAGGCATGAAAATAAATCTGTGTGTCTGTCTTCAAGACAACTCAGTAAGAAATAAGTTTTATTAAAGGCAATTGGAGATGCAAGTCCTCAGCCCATTGGAAGACTGGGCTATTTGCTGGTTTGCATTGCTTAGAAGATGAGCTGACTGAAATGAGAGAGCTCTTTCACATTCCCTTTTTGGAGGGAACCTAATAAAAGAGTAAAAAGTAAACACCATCCTGACTTTCAGGAACTGAGCAGCAATTGACATTACTGTTTTCTCATTTCCTTTCCTGGAATTCTGTTCAACAAACAGTGCATGGAATTAATTCCTCCCAGCAATTTCTTTTTATTAAAGCAAGATAATGTTATACACTAGAGCATCAGCTATCACTGCATCATTCTGAGCACAGCCTGTGAAATTCCCGCTGTGCTTGTCACAGGCTGTGCACTCAGACGTGTCATGCTCTGTTCTTAATGGTTCACAGTCATATGAAATAATCTCTTACTGAACTTGACCTACATTATTGTCTCCCCTTCGCATCTCTGCTTCTTTACCCATGACAGACATTCTGATAAAGCCATATACTTTGATATGTTTATCTGCTTTACATGGCAAAATGAGGGCTTTTTTGATATTGCAACCCATCCTATCTCAGTCTCAGTCCTATCGATCTGAAGATACTGTAAGCATTTGGAAAAATGGAATACATACCAATATAGGCGACTTTATCAGTCACCATGTATTTGTTGTGATTCACTCTCCCATGAGGAATATTTGTGTGATTCAGAACTGGAACAATGAAGAGTTTCTGGAAGTAGAGAAATTAAAAACAAAAGTATAAATACCAGAGTGAGGAGCATACTGAATAATTGGACAATGCGGACTTTCTATATTTTCACCGAATAGAATAGTACAAATAGAACAGAAGAGAATAGTCCACTCACTATTATGAAATTTACCATAAAAGAGATTTTACTGTTATCCAAGAAAACTAACAAATAGTACTTCCACTATACATAAAATTGGATAAGCAATTGAGATCAAATAAGGATAATGTTTTCTTCACAATGTTCCATTAGTGGCACAGCTATTATCATTACAGGGCAGACAATTAAATGCCGTTTTAGGCAGCTGTTTAATAGATCTGCATTTACCACTGATTGCTGCTCTTATTTTGTGCTAGAATGGGCTGATCACAGACACAAGGAGTACTGCAGGCAACAATAATGCCTAACTTCTTGTGTTATCTCTTATTAAAATCTACATTTCTGTTCCTTTTTTTTTTTTTTGTTTTAAATCATTCCTCCTCACTTCTGTGTCTTCTCTCTCTCATGGTAACTGCATCTCCACTTGATGCATTCCAGACTGGTGCCCATGGCCTCTGTGTAATATTTAATGTTTGAAAATGGGTCCATTTGTATAGGCAGTCAGCAGAGCTCTTAATTGTAAAAAACTGACAGAATTAGACCCATTTAAGATACTTCATACAGGAAAAGGTCTACGATAAGAGCACTGAGTTGACATACAAGCTGTTACTGTCATGTTACTTGGTAAAAGTGACTGCCTAGATAATGGCGCAAGCTCTGCAGCTAGGCACATCCCTTGGTATCACTACCAGCTTGCGATAGCTGCTTCCTCAAAGATTATCTCTTGGGCCTTATTTTCTCAAGGACCTGAAACAGTCACTGCAACAATGGACAGCCTGCTTCTCTAAAACCTGATACGTGCACACACAACTGGCATCTTAGACTCAAAAATCAGTGTGGGGCCCATATCCTAAAGCTGTCCTTCTAAAATCAGGTTTCTTATCATACCACATCAACACTGATGTGGGCAGATGGGTTGTTGAGAGCACGCAGGGATCTCAGATAGTAGAGCATGTCTGGGTCGGAGTGGGTCCAGCAGCTGACCAGAAGCCGGATTTGTACTCTGTAGTTGAAAGCTGCACGTCTCAGAGCATTGTCAATGGCTGGCCAGTATCTAGAGAAAATGAGGTGAGTGGAAAAAGGGCTATTTTTGAAACAGTTCCGTAGAAAGCTGTGACAATAAACTGAGAATACAAGTGACACCGTGCACAGATGGGATCTGTGTAAGAGAAGCACTTGTGCCTTCAGTGGAGGTATAAATAAGATTTCTGCCTTCTACCCAGCCAGTTCTTTTCCCAGTGTGTTTTGAGATCTCCCATCTCTGCCAAATTGGGTTGAAATTGATCAAAAAATTTAAAGCTTAGTAAAGTGCATGTACACAGATACACACACAGCATGGTGCCATCATGCTCCTTTCCCTAGGAAACTAAAAATAACAGTAGCAACTCCAATGTGAAGTCAGCTAGCTCATACAGCATGAAGTCAAAAAGAAAGCACAGAGCCCAGAGAAAGCCCAAGAGCCATTTTGCAGAATATGGCCATTTTAGGACCCTGGAGACTTGTTTCTAGTGTCCACGGTGGTCCTGTGCCATCAGCCAGCATGGACAGGCTCTATCCCTCCCCATCCCTCCTCTCTGCCTTTAGTATGCCGTGTGCCCCCGAGGTAACAAACACAGCTGTGCTCTCGGGAACACAGGGCTGTCCATTTTCCTGACATTTGTGCATGCAGTGGCTTAGGGAAAAAAATTCAACATCCTTCATCCAACTACACAACAGTAAAAGCTGGACAATGTACATCCCAGGACTAATAACTCCAAACATTTTCATTCTGTAGATCCTAGCAAGTGCTGCATGGAGGAAGACAAGCATCTTTAGTACAGGGTGGAGGACTGATATAGAGAGGCCTGGCATGTGTTCACAGTCCCATGAGCAATGATGAATTAATTTGCCTAACTTATTCCTTTTGGTCTTATGTACAAAGGCCTGAATTCTCAAGGCCTCCCTCACACATCATCCTATCATGACCAACAGACCAGCCATGTGCTTTCAGGCTCAGGCTGACTTGTAGAACCTGAAAAACTCGGAAAACCATGCTATTTAGAAATGCTATATTTTATAACATTTTCAATTTTTTAAATATATCCGTTTCTAGTTGATTAACACTTAGGTATAAAGACAGTAGCTTTGTTCCCTCCGCCTCAGCTGCTGGAGGAACCTAACCTGAACTAATCAGCCCCAATTCATTACAGTACAGCTGGTTGCTGTGGAGATAGCCTGAGGCCCCGCGACGCTTTCCCTGGGCCTTTCAAACTCATGTTTTTATTAGATCAGGCCCTAGATGTCACAAATGGTGGATTTAAGGCTTCAGAGGGAGAATGAGGAGTATTAACACACTCATTCCTAAGGGAGAAAGGAGACTTTCTGTGAACCTATTCTTAGCTAAAAGCAGAGATAAGAAACCCAAAGATTCAACTGTACAACACAGAAACCAAAAATCCTCTAAGCTGTGAGATTTATTAAAATATTCTCCACGTGGAAGCTAGTCTTAGAGGTTTTGTTTCAAGGACAGTGTAATTATCTGTGTCTATTATCGTACGCCCTTCCTGCTAACACACACATGGCCAGCTGAGCAGCAGAGGCTTCACACAGTCATGGTATAATTCTGGCTGAATGGCAACCCAGAGCTCACCCTCTTCTTTAAAAGCCATATTGCATATAATTGTTTCACTTGAACTTACTTCTGTTGATCTGATCTAGGTGTTCCTGCTCCGGCAGGGGGATTGGACTAGATGATCTTTCGAGGTCCCTTCCAATCTCTAACATTCTGTGATTCTGTGATTCTTTATCAGATTATTTAGACGATTGTAAACAAACTCAAAAATGTTTTAAGTAGGCAATACTCAGAGCACTTGGTTGCATGTAAACTTCGTAATTCAAGCATATCTAAGAGGATTTGGAGTCTTGGTGGTTGCCCCATGACTGACTAACTTTCTGTGTTACTCAGATTTGAGTTGATGTGCAGTCTGCATAATTCTGCTGTGACCTTGGGCAGCCCACTGGGACCATGGCAGTGGTCCCCCACACACAGTTTCATCACTCCAGAACACCACTACCATCTTCTTTTTGAGACATGCTGCTGCATGCACCCAGCACGCTTCAGGAACTTGGATGTCCTTAGATAGAATATAAAAAAATAAAAGCCCAGAAGTTTATTTTAGAGACTGTTTCAGCTACCATTGCAGAGGTCAGCAAGGACAGTTAAGAACTGACTTCTAAACTGTGGGTCAGGTAGGTCAGGCAGGTGGCAGAGACAGAAGTCAAGAGTCTTCAGAAGTAGAAAACCGAAAGAGAGAAACAGAAGCAGAAGAGAGGAGCAAAGCAATATTTTCTCTTAAAAAATCCGACGTCAGATATATTTCTGCTGTTCCGATTCCTCTCTCTATTCATAAAGCTGCTCTGTTGTGTTTTGAAGGGAGTTGTACCTGACTGGCCCTAGTCTGGCACTTTACACTTTTCGTGCTGTGTGAAGGGCACAGGAGGCTGCTCTGAAATGCTAGCGAAGCACATGGGCAATATTGGATACCATCCTTCGTGTATCATCAGTATTTCCACAGTCCACAAGGTGGTCGTGAATGCAGAGCAAAGCCTCAGTTCTCTCCACTCTGAATATTTTCATTGCAGAAGGCAGGGAATAGTAACATTTTTCCTTTAAATAGTGCAGTCAACTGATTTGCTCAGGATTAAAATCGTACCTTTCTGGATGAACGAAACGGCTGGTAGGGAAATATTCCATCACAGAAACATAGACAAACTTCTGCGCCTCACTGATAATACTGATTATAGCAAAGAGGTCATTGGTGCGACCTTCTGGACAAAATGCTGGAGGAGAAGCCTGTAAAGAAGAAAACACGCAGGTCAGTGATTTCATCCTGTTTCTGTCAGACTGTGAGTCGTTTATATTAACATTTGTTCAGTTTTCATTAAAATAGCACAAAGCATTTGAGGTGGACCGCTGTTGTTCTTCATGCCTTCCACGTCCCGATGGGCCAGATACTTACTGACATATTGAGCCCACAGGTGATTAAAGGAGACCTCCACCCCATCCTTGCCATACTTCCTGACAGCTGAAGCTGAGTCAACCCTTATTCCTTGACTAGTTCCAGAGAAACCTGTTGAATGCATTATTATCCAACTGGAGCACAACTAACTGAGGACTGCTGGAGAAACTCTTCTGGACAATAGTTAAACATAGTTAAAATCTGTCTTGTTATTTTAAAACATACTTACAGAAAGATAGGCTTTTGTCAAGATTCCATTAAATTCTACTTCCAGAGGATGATGCTTGTTAATGTGGGTGGAATAATTAAGAGGCCAAGGGAATGGGATGGTAGCATTAGCATGTCCAAGATCCCAGTAAGTACTAAATGTTTTCCAGAGGTCTTTGGCCAAGCAGCTGCAGTTGTATATCACCGCACCAAACTCTTTAACCTGCAAAGAGAGCAAACTATGTCACAGCCCCAGAAAGAGCCACCTCAACCTCCAGGAGTTTATTTGCTGTTTCTCAGTCAATATTTTACATCATTATGATTTTTCTCTGTTATGCGCTGGGACATGAATTTTCTCCCAGATTTTTGAATATGCAGCAGCAGAGCTTACCTGAGATAAAGATCTCCAGTCCATATTTGCACTACCAATATATATGTGTTTCATATCTACAATCCAGAATTTGCTATGCAACACTCCTCCTGTCAAATGTCCAAAATCAATCTTTTTTACATGAGCCCCTGCAGTGAAAGAGTTTAGATACAGCATGGAGATGGTAATCTATACTGCTCCCCTGACAGCCAGAACATGTCTGGATGTCTAATATCTGCAGCTGGCAATAACTACCAAAAATTCCCAAGCACTCATTCCTGGGAATACAATAACTTGCAAAAATATACAAAATGTGAACTTTAAGAAAAATCCTTAGATCTGTTGATATACAGACAGAAATCACCAACTAGTGAATACATCGTGCTTGTCCTGTGAACCCGTGTAAGCACCATGCCAGAATAGGCCTTGAGGACCAGTTTCTCTCAGATGCCTTTTTGCATTACTGAAGTTCTGAGGATGTCACTGAAGTGAGATAATTACCTTTTTCCTCTAAAAGCTCAAGGTCAGTTGAATTTGTAGCCAAAGTTGGTATACTTGCTGCAACATACACAGAGACATTCTCTGCGAGTAATCTCTCAAACCTCTTCAGAATATCTTCACCCTGCATGGTACATTGTTTGTTCGTATTTATATTTTGTTATAGAACATTTTGTAAAATATCTGCAAGTACAGTGTTACTAACGGATGCTTCCTTTGAAGAACCCCAATGCAAGCAAGGTCAGAAAATTCACCTATTTCAGGAGTGTTTCAACCCCAGAAAAAAGGGAACAAATATTCTGATCCAATGTATGAATCAAAGTTTATTTTTTATCATTTCATGCTATTAGAGATGAGGTTTAAAAGTACAACCACAAACATCCCAGACTTCAAAGGTAAATGCCACAATGAAGATCAACTGTTGGATGCTGATGCTCAACAGATCATCTGTGTCTTTTCTCCCTGAGGTTAGAAGTAACAGAGGTTGTCCTAAACTGAGCTGTCCCTTCAGCAGAGACAGGGCTCAGCCTTACATCTGTCACTTGATCTTCTTCTCATGTGGAGGAAATGAGTCAGCTTACAGCACCAGACCCAGCTGGTGAGGAAAAGAAGAGTGGTCCCAGAGAGTGAGGACAATGAGAAAGGTGTGCCAGGAGGGAGGCTGTGGAGAACTAGTCCCTGCAGTTTTGCA